TTCAAAGGCTATAAAACTCAGTTTGAACTGTTTTGTGCTGAGGTAACAATTACCTCTCCTTGGCAAAATTTCCACAGCAGAAATACCATGGATTCAGCAGAACATTGTGCTGAAGGACAGACTTACTAAATCTATTTTAGGCATGTAATAGCAAAGCATAATAACTAGAAAGCGTTGGAAATTTACATACATTTTTAATCTACCGTAACTGAGAATCCTTTCTCATTTGGACTGTGTTCAACAGGAATTTTTTTGCAGAAAAAGATTACCATTATTTGAAGATCTGGGAAATAGTGCTTGATGAATGAAGAAAAACGATGACATTAATTGACATCATGAGAAAACTCAAAAAGAATAAAACAACCCACCTCCTGAAAGAACACAGATTAATCTCTTAATCTCTTAAGAAAGAAATTCCAGGGCAGACCTGAATCTGTCAAAGTGAATTTCTCCTGAAACACACTAGATTAAAAACATGAAGGAAAACAAAAAAGCTCACAGACACAGAAAAGTCTCAAATATTAATTTTGGTCTACCCATTAGTAGTGGGTTCTTTTAGAAATTTTCATAACATCAAGTAAAATTCAATTCTGAATGCTGCTTAGCTAACAGGAAAAAAAAAGTTAAGCAACAGAATTACTATTATATTGTTGAAGTTGGGTTTTTCTGTTTTGTTTGGGGGTTTTTTTGGCTATTCATATGTTATTGTTTCAGCATCAAATACGCTGCTTAATATAATGCAGAATCAGAAACAAGCAGGATATTTTTAATAGCAAAACACATTGGAAATTCTGAATTTTCTTCCAAATTTGGATAAGCACAAAGTTTGCTTTTAATACCAGCTCCCTATTATACAACTAAGTCCTGTTCCCCAAGAAATGGCTGAAAAAATGTTCAGGCACAAATTTCAAATAAGTACAGAATCAGAATAAACCAGGATTTTCTATATTTTCTCCTATTCAAAGAGCTCAAAGTATTTTACTAGCATGATTGGTTTTTTTAATTAACCCTACCCTTATCGCTCCTTCTATCAATACATTTCAATAGATGCCTTCACTCCCAGTGATTTCAAGAGCACCTATATATGTTCAGTTGTTTCTGAAGAAAAAAGGCGACATTAAAATGACTACCCTTAAAGAAGTAAGTTTCTTAGAAAATAATACAAATGGGAATAGTTCTTCCACTACTATGGAATTATGCTGACTATAGGTTTTCTTAATGTGTCAGTTTTCACTTCCAGAAGCCACATCAGTAAAAATTAATCTTTAACACAGAGTAGTCGAGTGCATATCAGGAAAGCTATAATTTTAGACTAGATTAAATACAAAGAGCTCTCCACACCAGCAAAACCCAATATACTTTGAAAGGTTTAGTCTGGCATACATGGCAAGCAAACCAGTTGGTTTTAGAGATGCACGGGGATACACAACCATCATTGGGCAGCCCAGCCAAGTTCTGAACTGGAAGTCATTCAGTTCGTCGTTGTTTTGCCTCCAAATCAATGCCCCTAGTTTCTGATGAATAATTCAAGACATGCATAGGCTTCCTCTATTTTAACTCCAGGTATTAAACCTGACTACAAATTGAACAAGCATCAAGTTAAAAAGCTGAGGTTAGGAGTAAGGAGACAAAGTGATCTGGAAAATAGAAGTGCCATTTTTACATGAGCTTGGGCAGCTCCCAAAGTGAACTGTATCCAGTGGAAACAAGGTCTAAGTGCTGATGTGGGAGTTTCCCACAGCTTCTATTGGCCTTCAAAGCCATGCATGTCATCAGTGTCCCTTGTTGAAGCTGTACATAAATATCTAACTGGTATTAAAAGAACAAAAAATGTTCCACAGAACCTAAATTAAAGCCAGATGTGGAAAAAGCAGATGCCTGAAATTTACTGTCATTTCAAGACAGAATAGAAACACTTGCTAATTTTATTATTTACTGAGTAAATTGTCATGCTAAGGAAGTCATGTAGAACATTTATCATCGCCTGATGCAGCTTGTGTTAAAGAAATAGGTACTCTATTGACTAAACCCCCTGCAATCAGTACCAAATTCCAGCCACAAACTAAATCTGTGTTATGATTCCTATTCCAGTTATGAATAATAATTCTATTGAATTATGATTATATTCTTATCAGTCATTTTAAAAATATAAGGTTAAGTATGTCAAGATGGTATTAATACTTAGGTCAACAGCACAGCACTGGAAGAGGAAACTGAACAAAGCAAGTTAAAAAGATATTTAGTGAGCGAAAAGTCTTCCACATCTTACTGAAAATCGTATTGCTTTAATCCAGGCAAATGCAGTCTGTGCTAAGCATGTAGGGAAGTAACATTTTCATGGCAACTTCGGAACAAAACATTCAATTAAATGCTCTTAATGAATCAACATTTAAAGAGCAATCCTTTTAAAAAAAGGACAAGGTTGACCAGTTTCCCTATCACATGCAAGTTTATTAGCCTAATATCATTCATTTTGTATATGGAATTACAACACAACTACGACATCATCACAGTAAATGTAAGATTGGATGACATGCAACTTTACAAGTCTATTTTCATTATAGTGGAGTAGCGGCACTGGTAAAATTTTACTAGATAGGAGGAAAGGAAATTTTTCAGTTACTAGAAGCCATTTTCATGGTCTCCAAACCCAACAATCATCTACAAAATCTCTTGAAGAGATTTAGTGCAGAAAAACAAGTAACTTCTTGAGAGAACAAGCAAATATTCTAATTTTCAAAATAGGTCATACATGTCTTATGAAACCTCTCTCACTACTTTTGTTGCAGTTTTTAGAATGCCACATATCAAGATATCTTAAATCAACCTAAAGACCACTGGTCTTAACAAACGTAATGCCTCCATTTTAGAGAATACAATCTGCCAACAGCCTCTCAAAAGTAGCCAGACACCTGAAAAGCCATTTCGCAGTCTTCAAACTCAGCAATATAAATTGCACCAACTGCGCTGTATGATAAAAACGAGTTCAAAATACAAAAACAATTCAACAGAAAATATACTAAAAGCACTCTCTTGTGCACCTAAAAATCTTAAAACCTGCTCCAGATTATGTACTGAGGGAGTAGTGGAGGACCACAAAACCACTTCTTTATTTTTCAGAGTCAACAGTGGCGAAATGTAACAAAAGAATAGGTCTTTTAATCCAAAGAAAGCAAGCATGCTCCAGAACCTGCATATAATCTGCCTGTTGGACCTTACCCTTCATAAATACAAACTTTATCAAGACCATTAATATAGTTAACCCTGATAAATCAGATGAGTTTTTACAAAAATATGGCAATGTTACACAGGGAAGCAATCAAGAAAAGTCACTGGTTCTATGGCAGATGGGGTAATTTGAACGCATTAGCTTTGCAAATATTTTGTACATCTGTTTTTCCACCGATAAGCAATGATTTCACTCCACAAACCTCACTGTTGAACCCAAAGATTTTTGAAAGCACACTCATTCCATTTTTATGTTAAACTTTGAACTTCAGTAAGTTGCAATAAATTCACACCACAGTCTACATTTTGTAAAGAATATCTAAAACTTTATAAACAAACACCTGTAGACATTCTGAAGCTGCAAAAGAAATTTATTAATTAATATCTGCAAAATAATAAATTACTAACTAGGGCACTTGTAACTGTTTTTACTGCTGTCCTTAGTACACCAGACACTTCTTAGCAGCCTGAAAGTCATGTATGGCAATCAGACTACAATCACTCTTGCGGCTAACGAGTAGCACGTGTTAAAGGGCACTTGTTTCCGTTTGTTGGATCCCTCTCACATACATATTGAAAATTTTTTTTCTAGGTATCACCAGGCTGATTTAAGAATGCGTCAGGTATTTCATGGTTTAATGTCTCCAGTATCTGCTCTAATTATTTTAAAAGGTTAAAACATGAAACAGAGTACCAGGTCATCGTTATCCCCACAAACCTTATTAAGCAACACTGTTGAGCCATTTCCAGCTGAAAAAACAACTATACCATTTACACAGGCTACAGTAACTGAATAATCATTTCTCAAAGCCAACTTTGGAAACATCCATGTGATACGACTACAGCAAAATTAAATTATAGATGTAAAACAGTATAGACATTTGCAGACAGAGTAAGGATTACAAATCATTATTAAAATACAATATTAAGACAGATATCTGTTTCATTTTTTATCGGACAAACTCAATATTGTAACTCGTTTAGACAGGGTTATCTCCCATGAGAACAAAACATACCCCAATTTCATTCCATATTACAACTTTTTGTCACTAGACAAATGAACAGCATTGTTTTTCCCATGTTATAATCCATCAAGGAGTATAATAATTACATTTTAGATTGACCTAAAATGAGAATTGATTTCCTTACACCACATAACACAAGTCACTTGTTTTCTTTGAAAGCAATACTTGAAAACTCAAATATAAAAAGTTACGATTAATTTAAGAGAATGTCTATCCTGCCTAGGAACCTGTGTAAATACTGTGGGCCTTAGCTGATAGCAGGCTCCGTGTTATCATGGTTACTCATTATCGGTACTAGCATACAGTACTCATAATGCTTGCAGAAACTGCAGTTTATGCTGCCAGTGAAACACACCCTAGAAGACAACAGACAGGAACTTTCATGATATAAATTCAGAACTGTCAAGCAGCAACTGTCCCTTAAAATATTTCTGTAATTTCACAAAATGTGACGACAATAAAATAAAAAGAATAGTGCCACACATTTCTAACTGTCTGTCAACATGCATCCCATCATCTGTTCTTAAAAAAGAATGACCTCTCACATGCAACAATATTTCTTATTCTATAACATTAAGAAGACACATCTTATCTCAGTGGATGGAATATGCACGTGGCTTGTGTAAATCATCCTGCTCAATTCAATCAGTGATTCATTTAAGCACATGGTTATACAGCTGAACATAAAAACCAAGCATCCTTTACTGCCACCTGTTCATTCTTAACACCCAAAGCATATTTTCTTACCTCAGCAGCCTGTGTCTCCTGGTGTAATAAAGTTAGACCTGTCAAGTCTTCTAAGAAGGAATGTGAAGAATTAAAAACTTTAGCTAGGAAATTAAACCCTTCTCGCTCATACTGGTCAAGGACCTGTCAAATAAGCAAACAGAAAAGGATGTCAAGTAAGATGCCCACAATGCGATTCATCATCATATTTTGCTCACAAAATAGAAGTACAATCTTTCTGAACACTCAGAAAATGACTGTATATTGTAACAGGTAAAAATTACAGAGAAAAGAATGACCATTTCTCCCAACTCAATTTCTATAGCATGGAAAGGTGAAGGAAAGAGGGAAGAGTAGCGAGGTTTAAGATTTACTGGTTTAAATGTATTTTTAAGCTTATAACAAGACAGATTATATGGCAAGAAGAAAAACTTAGCTGCAAAGTCATGAAAGGAGCATTTGAGTTACACAAAACACAGTAAAAGACTGTTCCAATGTATCAGTTAAGGGAAAGAACCATGCTGGGACAGACTGAAAATTTCTCCGAGTCAGTGTCCAAGTCCAACATCCTCCCAGCCTCCAGAGATTCACGGTTCTGAGACTATTGTATCTTAAAGCGCTCTCTATTTTTCTACTTTAATTTTCCCAGTTTATCTTTTATTCTGAGAATCTTACAGACTCCTACAAGAATTGTGAGGAAGGTTTTATCCTATGCTCCTCTCAAAGCCCTGACCATGAAGAATTTTATTTCATGCAGCTTTAGCTGATATAACTATTTGGCAGGCTGATTTCAATCAAGTATGATGAAGATTGAGGAAAGAAAAGACAAATGTCAAAGACGAATGTGATTCTACAAGTTTTGTGAAAGCAGGTAGCAAGAAAATGAAAGAAACTTACGAAAGAGCAATGCCAGTATCCCTTGTTTTCTTACTTTTGTTCTGAGTTCTACCACTGATCATTTAATATCCTGCTCTGCTGTCATCAGTCTCACAGATGACAGACTGCAAAGCAACTTTTCCTATAGAAATTCAGGTATCAGAGCAGGATGCATGCCAGGACTTCAGAAACACTTGCTATTTTAATACAAAGAAGCAGTCTATACGATATTGATAGAGAGACAGGGGAAGGATCATCACTGTCACCCCATACAGAAAAGATGCGAGCTTTTCAGAAGAGTCCATGGAATGGCTTAGTCTATGAAACTGAATGTCTGCCAAAAATCTTTCGCTGTGAACGTTATCCTTGCCTTTCTCAACACTCACATTGTCATCTCAATCATCATCTTCCTCAGATAAATCAACATGAGTTCAAGAGTCCAGGACAGAAAAGGGGGCTAATGATCAGGCAGTTTCACAGATAACTGTTATTTTTCAGAATGGCTGTTATTTCTTAGAATGATGATCATTTCCAAAACCCAGCATCTGTAAAAGCCAGCACCTCTTCCAGTTGCTGACTCGGATAATCTCCTCCTGCTTCTCACCCTCCCAACCACATATGCCATTCCTGTATATTTAAACTTAAGACCCTGCACAAGTCCCTCTTTACCATATCATTTTTACAAGCAACGTTGTGTTGCTGTCATATCACACTTTTCAGAAACACATTTTTTGCAGTGGGGTATAGCTGTACTTGAAAAAAGCTGCAGCATAAACCCAACACTTAGTAAACACCAGAGAATCCACAAACAACTGCATCTCTACAACTAACCAGCCATGGGAAAAGCACCAAAATCAACCTCAAGATATAGCTCCCAGACTCCCGTGCTCGTAGAAATACTTGAATTTTCATTCTCTGATGTATAAATTTCCAAACAAATCACAACATTGTACCCATCCATGTCTTATTACAGTTTATCTGTGCAAATTGTATGTATCATGTATCTCTATTTTTATCTTATCTCATTTTGGTATAGCTCTTGCAGAACAATTCTAAGTAGAACACAAAAAGTTCTTTCATACAGAACACCATTACAGGGGCTGTGAACAACCATTCTTTCGCTCTATATTTTATCCTTATTTTGGGAAAGAAACAGTAAGAGAAATTTGCACAGCTTACGAGCTTACGTACTCCTTAAACAAATCCATTCTCACTGGACAGACAAGTTCCCCATAATGAGTGGAAGTAATTTTCTCTGGAAAAGAAGGGAAAAAAACCCAACCTCACCCTGGAAGGACTGTAGTTTGTTCTACCGTGAAACAGGCCATTCAACCAAGTGAGCTTCATTCCAATGTTTAAAAATGAATAGACAACCCCTGCTCCCCCTACTCCCAAAGAAGTCATTCGCCCTTCTTTGGATAATCACAACTTACTCTCGGCAACCTTACTCTTCTCTAGTTTAACAATTCCCAAAGGTCTCAAATAACCTTTGCATTGATAAATCTTAAAACTGTGGGAATTTGCACAGCCCAACAGCATGCTTCAGCAAAACACATTCAGTGAGCTTTTACACCAAGTATTACAGGAATTCAAACTCATTCAAAAATATATTGATATAAGTGACAGAATTTTAAGTTTACCGATAAAAAGAGACTGGGATCTTCACTCAGATCTTCATGCAAAATGCCCATTTTGCAGCAAAATTATCTACTGCATACTCAGGTTTCAAAAAAACACAAGCAGAAACAACTGAAACACAGCTATAAAGAAGACAAATGTGACTATGACAAACATTTGGCATCTTCTTGACCACACTTTACACTTGTAAAATAAATAAATACTGCACTTTACGTTCTCTTGCTAAGTCTAGAGAAGTTGTTCTTCATACTTTAAAGATTTATTTTGCCATACATGGGTTTTCGTGTATTTGTGCAATCACTCATAATCAGACATTAAAAAAGAAAAAAGGAAAGAAAAAAAATATATTTAAAAAATGCTTGGGAGCATTTCTTTGGGTTTTTCTTGCTTTTTTTTATTCCTGAGATAAACACACCAAGATAAAATCATCTGTGTTCCCAATACAATGCAGAGAACTGGACAACTTCAGAACTCCATTCAAGATGTGTCCTCTTAATATTATCCATTACATATAGCGAAATTGCAGTGTGGATGTACACATACGTTTAATGATGATCCTGTGTTTCAAAATGCTAATAAAATAACCAGATGTGCAGAAGTCTCTTACATCTGGCTCTTTGTGAAACACTGTATACAGACATCAACTTATAAACTTGGATTACGTTCACAGCCCTGCCTGTATGTAACGCTCAAAGCTATCAGCATTATCAAATGTGTTGCTATTGCTTTAATTTGTTGGAACCACAATACAGAGCTTATGAGACATCTTTTTAATGATGTAGGCCAGATTATAGTTCATGGTACGCTGAAACAATATATAGCCTATACACAATGAAACCATAGCCTTATTCTAAAATATTACAGCACATCAAAGAAATGCAAGGACAACAACAATAAAATATTTTGGTCCCTTCCCAGAGGTAAAAATTGCTAAAAGATGTATGCCACGCCTTGGGTTATGCAAATATTACAAACAGAGCAGGGAACCAAGCGTAACCTTGCTATATACAAGAAATCTATTAAACAGCCTTTAAATTTGGTTGATTTTGTTACTCTACTAACTATGCTTTGATCCTCATTTCCAAAGAACTGTGACTCAAGCCTGAAGTGAATATTTCCTGGTATTGCTTCCTCAGTAAGCTCATCACTGCAGTGTGCCAGGGTGCTCTGTAGAAAGGGCCCTGGTTTATTTCAGAGATGTGCTCAACCTTTCTCTATTCCCTAGCTATAAATGAATTCTTAGGTACTCGCACAAAGCAGACTGCATGACATCCACAATGTCTAGCATTAGTTTTGGATGAATCATCGGGAATTATTTTTATTAAATCCAAGTGCCCTTTGTATTGTGACTAACATGGAAGAGACTAGGAAATATCTCATTAGGTGTCTTTTAAAAGATGAATATTAATAAATGATTAATATTAATAAGATCACAGAACCATGAGTTGAAGGTATATTATTTTTGGATCTAGTGAACTGTAGTGGGTTTGTTGATTTTTTAAAGTGATACACATTAGTATGAGCAAATGTGCTGTTGTTATGGGAAGATTTAAAAATTGATTTTCCCCCTGTAGAAACTCCATTGTGTTACACTACTAGACTTTCCACGGCATTACGACGGTAAACTGAGGTTAGGGTAACAAATCTGACTATAGACACAGTATCTCAAAAACCTAAAGTACAACAATCTGAGTATTTTTCTTGTATTAACACCTGCAGAAACCTGAAAAACTTTACCAAATAGTGTACTTGCTGATTATAATTACTTGCTTTTTATAATGGGAACAGCCTGCTGAATAGAAGTATCTGTTAACTAGTCTTAAAATAGAAATTCCAGCCACATGGCCCAGGGAACAACATATCAGGAAATCAAAGAATGGCCTCGCAGCATCACTCGGTTTGTACCTGAGCAGCAGTAGTACCATTAAAGAAGGTATACACTATAATGAAATCCTTTTATTATAGGCAGCAATTGAAAGAACATTTTGTCACCTTCAGGGACTTTATTTCCCAATTCAGATTATTAAAATTTACAATAAATACCAGGAAAGGGATAAACACCATTAACTTGCCCACATCTAACCTTTATTACACAAATTCAGTTACAGCTGTCCTGATAAGTGTCATGTGGCATATATTAATTCATAGGCACTGAATATACTTTGAAAAGAAAAAAAAGAAGGCAAAATAAAACTAAACTCAAATTCCTATGCCAGGAGACCACACAGTAATACTCTGCAGGTCATGAGGAATAAAGCCAGCCTAGACATCAAATAGGCACAAAATAATTCTTAAAAAAAAAAAAAAAAAAAAGCTTCCAGAATGAATAAGTGCCTGATTTGTTGCTGTGTGAAAAGGAAATTTTCTCCTATTTAATCACATCCAGCAGAGTCTAAAGGCCCATAGTTGGCATGAGTTTGCTTCTTCAGTTCTTAATAATCCTCTTTGCTGCTAACACCATACTTACTGTACACGGTACTAATGTGATCATTTTGAATAACAGCTTTAGAGGAGGAAAATACATGAGAGATGTTGTAATTTTTATTGTTATTGATCTCACATTACCTACTATCTGACTGCAGATGTGGAAAAAAAATCCCTCACAAACTTTTTCTGGGAATAAATGTGTC